CAAACTCAAACTAGTCTCCTCGTCACCACTTTAAGTTTGAGAGAATGTTACAAGATATTCATATTATAATTATGTTGATTCGGTTCTTATTATAATCAATTGATATAATTAGGTTAATTGATTTTGTACCATAGAATATTCTCTTGTACAAATCTATAAATAAGCATTTTGTATATTCAATGAAATTAAGAAAAAAAGAGTTTTTTTTTTTCTATATTATTATATTTTTTTTCTCTTTATTTTTTCTATCGCAGAGAAATTAAGAAACGTGGATGCCTTGCCAATAATCTGACACTCTCCTCCTGCATAAAGCAATATAACGATGCCTTACTTCTCCACCTTAAATTCTACCATTTAAATCAAAGATCAAGGCATGCGCAAATCTCATACCCTAAAACGGTATCAAAAAATCACCCCCCCACCCCTAAAGAAAATCATATGGAAACCACTCTTTCCCTTTCCTTAGGCCCTCTCCCCTGCTTTCCCCTGCATCCTTCTCCCATGAACACATTTCGAGCCAGACCCACCAATCTTCATTTCAGTTTTAATCATTCTTCTCTCTCCCTTTCCACTTTTCGAGGAAAACGAAGGCGTTCCGGTGACCATGTCTTCACCGGACCTATACCGCATGCACTTGACTGTAGATCTTCAATGGGTTCCAAGAATGAACAGAGTACTGATAATCACAAGGCCATAACAGGGGCACTAGGTGCCTCTGTAGTTTTGGCTTGTGCTATCTTTGCTTGTGGCTGTACCATGAAGTATGATGCAGCCATTGCAATAGGTCCGAGGATTGTTTATCAGAAAGCTCCAGCGGTGACGGAAGCAGTCCCGACGTTTCAGAAGATGGCTCTCAATTCGTTGTTGGAGGTAACCGTAGCCTTGGCTTCAAGTAAACTTGAGCCCGAGGTTGGAGCTTTCAATCTGCTTCCTTTAAATCCTTCAAAACAAGATGTTGATGTTATGAAGGTACAAAATACTCATCGCCTAATTATCTCTACTCTGTTTTTTTGAGTTTCAGATATCAAATATTTGGGGTTATATATGTTTAGACTCCTCATTTTATATAATGAATCTGAATCTCATCTTCATTGTATTTTAATTTGTTTGGTATGCTTAGCAATTGCACAGATTTAAAACTTTAATCTGAAATCTAGGATTTTTTAAATTGATGAGTATCAAGATTTGAGATAAGTGATTAGCAATTTGTATTAATCGGATGAATAATATTTAGATATCGGCTATACATCTATTATTCGCATCATTTGAACTGTTTAGCCCAACACCCCCTTATAAGCATAACCTTGAGATGGTCCATGTGACATGGTCCTTGATATTGAGATATCTACCTCATGTTAAGTGGTAAGCATAATGTTAATTGGAAAGTTTTTTGTATTAATATGTAGATGGACGCAGTGAAGATGATGAAAAATGGGAAGGCAGATGAAGCAGTTGATTGTTTGCAGAAGGCATACATGAAATATAAGAACAATCCTGAGCCTGCATACAATGTGGAGATGGCATTGGTAGAAATTCTCATCTCTCAGGTCTGTGTCCCCTACAATTTCCTTAGTCTCTGCTTTGCTTATCCAAACACCAGGCAATCAAGTGCCATAATTGATTTTTACAGGGAAAATACAAAGAAGCACTAGAACGCAAATGCCTTCGTGATGAACAAGGCCCATTCTCAGATTTTCGGCAGTCACTCTACAAGGTACTTAAAATACCAAGGAGAAACACATATTAATCTCTTAATTTGCAAAAGGTTTTTCATTAATTATATAACCTTGGAAAGAAGGATTCATTAATAATTTAACACAAAATTTAAGTTAAGAATCTTATTTTACAGTTTAAATTATACTGGATTGCAAATTAAGAACAATTGAATGAGAAGATAATTTTTAATATTAAGAGACTCATCCTTCCTCTAATAATTTAAAGTATACAATTTATTACTATTCAAACTATATAACACTCTTTTATTTCAAGATTCTAACATATAATTTAATTTTCACGAGTTGTCACACAAACTAATTTAAAGATACTAAGGGATGGCTATAACAAAAGAAAATGATTTGTCTCTTTTACTTCCACAGGCAATTCTATTTACCATGTTGGATAAAAATCAGGAGGCAAAGACGTGTTGGCAAGCATTCGGAGAATCCCATGGAGAAATGAACCCTGCTTCCGGTTTTAATTATCCAAGTTAGGATCGACTCACTGTTATATCTATAGCCTTCACTTATTAAAATTTGCATTTGTTTATTTTGGACTATGAAGACATCCTGCCTCAAATCCCCTCAACAAGTCATTTTTATCATTGCCAATAACATTTGGCCTAGATGTAGATAAGATAAAAAAATAAAAAATAAAAAATTGTATGCTTAAAATTTATGAAGACAAAAATAAATAAATTTTCTGTGCATGGGCTGAAGCCCATTTTAGCTAATGACCCACTCAATGAGATGGCCTTATATATCATGTACTCTTAAATTACTACTGTTTAGGATTTCATCAAATGGACCGAAAAATGTATACATTTTAACAAAATGTATTTCTTCAGAATATACTTTTCTTAGGGCTGTATTGTTCGTATTTTTCTAGGTTTGAAACGCTGGTTCACAAGAAGTAAAACTAAATTTCTCAGGCCACGCAGCTGAGGAATTAATGCTTTCCTTCCTGATTTATGAGAGTTAATCTGAACAAGGTCCGATCAAATCAGGGGCCAGAAAATGGGTCTCAAATGCCACCACGATTTTTGCAAATTGTGATCGCCGAATATGACTTTTCCGGCGCTGGATTGGAGGGAAAGTCAGTGAGCAGGGATGGAGAGAGAGTATAAAGGTTTCAAGTAATACGCTCTCACACGGCCAGGAAAAAGTCAAACAGGTAAATAATCTGTTTTTCATGTACGTCATTAGCAAATTTTACCAACTTTTGCCTCTATAACCCGAACAAGTACAAGGAGTCAAGGATGTCTGAGACTCGGTAACTTTTGGTTTTTTTTTTTTTTAATGAATTATTTTATTTTAAATATTAACAATATATTCAATTTGAAAAAAACAAAAAAGAGGAAAAATGAAAGGTTACAACTTCCTTTCATTTCTTTTCTTTTCATTTTCCTCATGTTTTTTTTCTTCATTTAGATAAGTGAAGAAATTAAAATAAAAAATAAAATAAAGAGCTCTGCCTCTCTCCACTCCAAATTTCTTACGAACCAAATAAATGAATTTTTACCTCTCCCTTTCTCTCTCAAAGTAAGATATTGCAAGAGTTGGAAGAAGAAGATTTACATTTTTGTTGAACCCAATTTACATTTTAGGTTTGGAGACGCACTTAATTACCTTAACAAGAGCCATAGTAAAGATATTAAGGTTAGATTAAAAAAATACGTTCAAAGATATTATTATCATATTGGAGTATAAGCAGCCACGATAAATGGTTGGGTTGATTAGTAAAGAAACTAAGTGTATATTTATTTTTTTAGTATATCTAAATAGGTTATACAAAAAAAATAATTTTTTTTAATTTTTTCTCATTCAATTCAAAATTTGATTTTTAATTTTTAATTTTTAAATTTTAAATTTTAAATTTTTAATCATTGAATTATCTTTTAAAGATTAACTAAGTGTGTGTTTATTATTGTTACTAGTTTGTGGTTTTGATACTTTTAAATTTAACAATCAACACTGATTTTCTTTTACAGACATAAAATTTGGTGTGCTTATTTCTAAGCACATGCAATTCTACTAAAGATTATTGCCCACCCCCCGCCTTCTTTTTTCGTCGAAGATCCAACAAAGTCAAAGGTAAAAAAATCTTCGTACTCGCTGCATATAAATGAAAGAAGCTTCGTCCAAGTTTCCGGCTCGTTGAGTCACAATTCATGTTCTCCATAGCTAATGTTAATACTAGAAAAAATGTCCGCCACGGCTAGGCCAATCCACGGGACGTACCGACCTCACCCACTTCACCGTTTCCTTCAAGCTAAGTTCGAGTCCTCTCTGGACCCCCCTGGCTATGTCAAACAGTCGAGGCCACACCACCTGTCAATTACAAGCTAGATGGCATCAATGTCAAGCACGAGTAATTGACTGTGTGGCATCGATTCTGCTTTGACCAGCTAGGTGAGTGGGGCAGAGGAAGAAAGCTATTTGTGCTTGGACTAGTGATTCTGGGCTTCCTACTAGTAGTACTGCCTAATGTCGATCAACTTCCCATGGCATTGGCAAGGACAACGTTGATCTTATCCTCGATCGGCTCTTTTTCAAAAAATTAACGCGTGTCCCACTCCCCTTGTAATCTCATTCTCTCCCCCCTTCTTCAACAACGTGTTGAAATTGAAATTGCTACTGTGCTCCGCACCATTACCCGTCCAACATCACTACTCAATTCACGTGTGGTCCATTAATTCAATGCTCTGGACCACTTCTACCTTTATTGCATATATAACACGTATGCTTAATTCACTTTTATGATTTCGTTTTTGAGCAATTGATTTGGGCTGTGAAATATTTCAGTGATTTTTTTTATAATTTAATCTCGAATATTGTAAGGTATATATACGGTATTGTCATTGAAAGACAGACAGAGGTCCAAAGCATCAATCAAGAGTACTGTTTCAATCACTGAGAGAAGGACTGAAGGGGGCAAATGAAGAATTTGGATTTCAATATAAAATTTATATTTAATTTAAAATTAATTGATAATAAATAATATAATTTTTTAATATTTAAGTTACATATTTTTTATTATATTTTTAATATAAATTTTTTTTACTGAATAAAGCTCTTTTATGTGCTAGTTTTATATGAATATGGGGTCTTATTATACTGGCTTACAATGGATTTTTCAAAAACAAAGTCTATATTCTAATACTATAAAAATTATGCATATGATTTTTAACATAAATTTTATATTTGATTACAAATTAAGTAATAATTAATAAAAAACCCTCTTATATTTAAGTCACACATATTTTGATATGAAAATATACCACTTATTAGAGGGAAAGGAGAGAGAGATGAGATCATAATTTCTTATTTTTTCTTCTCTTTAATGTTCAATATTTTACTGCTGTTTCCCTCATGGCTGGTGGTGTGAAACTTTAGAAGATTAAATATTTTTTGATTTTTTTAACTTTTAAATTAAAATTACATTAATCATTTTTTATTAAATTAATTTTAATTTTATTCACTGTTAATTAAAGGCATTCACAGGTAACATGAACATAAAAAATGAAATTAATTTTTTATTTTTTTATATAAATTAATGATGATAATAACTTCTAAAAAGGCAAATTACACACGTTAGAATTGAAAGAGAGAGGGAGAGAAAAAAAAAAATCATCAGAGCAAGTGTACGTAGCTATTAGCAATTTTTCAATGTTGACTTTGGGGTGATCAAATTTTAAATGGGACCCTGGACAGCGAACACCGGACAGGCGGACAATGACATTACCCGCCGGAATTAGCCTCATCGTTAATTGATAATTGGAAGAAACAACGGCCAACCTGGAAGGCATACATATTATTTACATGGGTGATATTATAAGGATTACTTTTTTATTTTATTTTTTATATAATTTTTATATATTATTAAATAAATATATTTAATAATATAAATTTTATATAAATTAAAAAAATTAATTATTTTAATAACATATCAAATCATAAAAATATAAAACAAAATAATTATCTCTAGAACATTTTTCTACTTACATAATCGGAGCAATTATTTGAGGTGGTCATAAATCAACCCAACGAATTATGTACTGCCACGTAAAGTCACAAGAGTGACGCACCCGGGCCTTCCACGTGTCACGACGACCGTGACAGTAGCCGGGATTCGTGAAAACCAGCGGTCTTTTTGGTTGGGTTCCCCGGGGCCAGATGATAGGGAGGCAGGGAAGTGCAACTTTCAACCACATTGATTTTTGCAGTAAATTTCGTGAACCAACTTGATAAATGCATTAATATTTTAATAATAAGAGAAAAAAAA